ACGCCACGGCAACGTGCCACGGCCGGTGGCCGAACTCCTCCATCTCCACCGAGTCGTACTCGAGGAACCCGCGGCCGTCCTCCTCCTCCTCGTCCTCCGGGGATGACGGCGATTCTTGGTCGTCGAGGAACGACCGGAGGAGGTTGGTGAAGAGGTAAGGGTGGAGGTCGCCGAGCCAGAGGAAGGGCTTCTCGAGGGCGTTGCGCCAGTCCGGGTGGAGGCACTGGGCGACGTCGGCGGCGGCGGCCTGGTCGAGGGCAAGGTAGTAGGACTGGAGATGGTGGTGCATGCCGTCGACCTGGAGGGAGAGGAGGGCGGGGGAGAGGGAGAAGGAGGAGAGAGCGAGGCGAAGCTGGGGAAGGAGGGTGTTAGAGAGGGTGGCTAGCCACTTGTTGTAGAACTCGGCGAACGGACGACTTCCGGTGGTTTTCTTGCGGTTAAAGGGAGACGTTTTGAACATCTTTGGGGGAAGATTTGAGAGCCACTGCAAAATCAATTGAGAGAGACTCCAAATTTAATTTGGGGTTGGATAATGGAGAGGGTTTATTTTTATTCTGTTTCTGTGAACTTCTGATTTTTTTTTTTTAATTAATTATTTATTTATTTAAATGAGAAGTGGGTTTTATACTGTTATTACTGTTACTGGTGCAAATACAAGTGGGCTTTTTTTTTAATTAATTAATTATTTATTTACAATTTTTTTTTATAATTTTCAAATACTATTTTAATAAACCATATTAGTATTTATATTTAAAATGACACACGTCACTTATATGACTTGCTATTTTATTATAATAATCTATTATTAATTTGTATACTATAACAATTTTATTGTTAAACTAATTTAGAATAATTTTATTTTTTCTAACTAATACTAATTAGTAATTTAATTTTTATTATAAAAATGAATATAATTATTTATTTATTTTGTAATATACACTATAGATGTCTAATCTCTAAGATACAATCAATTTCATGTATTATATATAAAAAAATTATAATAAATAATTTTTTTATTAACTTTTAAATACATTTATAATTTAGGTTAGTAATTGTTGTATAATTATAAAAGAAATATGAGGAAAATAAAAAGATTGGGGTAAAAAATTATGTATTATAAATCACGTCTAGATTATGAAATGATATTAAAAAATAATCAACGCATTAAAAAGAATTATAAATATCCAGTATATTTATGAATATTCTAAGCCTAGTTATTTTATTGGAAGTAAATTTAAATATATCCGAACCAAATGACAATGCATTAAAATTTCCATATAAGATTTCAAAAGCGTGCGAGCCTACCACTTAGATTTATCACGTTTGAGAAATTATATACATGAGCGATTTCACATGATTTAAATAATTCATTTTCATATTCAGTTTGACATAAGTACCAACTCAGCTCGACATGTTACTTCTAAATAGCTAAATGACTTGTTTTAAAATAAATTTGTTCGGATTATTTAGTTTAAAATTGAATGGTTTATGGATAACTCATGTTCATATTCGGTGTGCCTTACGAACCAACTCAGCTCGACACGTGAATTCTAAATAGCTAAACGATTTGTTTTAAATAAATCCGATCGAATTGTTTCGTTTAAAATTAAAATGTAGTTTATGGATAATTTTGGCTCATTTAATAGACAAGCTTGGTTTACTTTTACAAAAAAAAAAAAAAAAGATAATAATAATAAATAAATAATAAATAAAATTGGGTTTACTTTCTACTCAAACGACTCTAATTTTCTTGATTTATGTCTGACGGATAGACATATTTTAAGATGAGAGGAAGGAACTTCCCCTTTGTTTTTGTCTCTATTTAGCCATTGATCCCCTTTGTTTTATTAATAATTGCCCTATAAATCACATCATTTTGCGACAATCAAATATGCGCATTATTAGTTTTGTATAGCTTTGGGCTCCTACTCATACCATGGTTTGCAAGTGTTGCCTATCGAAAACTGATGAAACTGAAGTGATGTTTTATCGAACGAAAAAGTATAGTAATAAAGATAAGTGAATACCGAACAAGAATCCGGTTCGGTCATTTCGTAATATTTATCCCTCAAGAAAACAAAATGTGGTTGAATTTTAAGCTTTTACAAGAGCATATATTTTGGGTTAGTCTTATGAGCGGAGCCACTCATAGGCTAAGGCAGTAGGGTAGGCTCCAGGTTCACGTCCAAATGCTACCTTTCTTTTTTAAAATTCTTTATACATAGTATCATGTAATTTTTTTATTTAGCCCTATCTAATTTCAGGCTGAATATTTTAAGATTCATGTCGAATTTGTTCATCTGAGAGCAATGGTGAAAAAGCCGAAAAGTTATGATCGAGGTGAGAGGAAAGAAGATAATCTTTTATTGTGAAATGACAATTGTGCCTTCACTAGATTTTTATTATCTAATATGGTCCAACACACTATTGCCTTTTAAATTCTTAACGGGTTGATCTGACAAATATCAAATGAGTTGGATAATTAAATTTGATACACACTTTCTCGGCTTGTCTCATTGCATAGTCCATCATCAATTTATCATTAGTTTTTTTTTTTTTTCTCACCTCCAATAATTAAATTGGCCTAATTTTTTAGACAAAGAAAAAACTTTTACAGAGTTGATTGCAAACATGTTCGACTCTATTTGTTTAATTGACAAGTTCGATTAGCTATTTCTTGGCCGATCGGTTCATTGAAAAAATAAAAAATAATGAAAAAAAATACTACATATATATATATTTTAAAAAAAAAGTCAAACCTTTTGTTTTTGTTCGAAACTGAAACCGCTGATTCAAAATGTATAAATTATAAAATATTAAACATGAACTGGACTGGTCAACACCACAGGCCGTTCAAAACCTGTGGTCAACTGGCCGATTTGTGTCGGTTCGTGCTGAACTGACATACCGGACCGACCGATGACCGTGTCAATCTAGTTTCAATAACACATACAATAAATGCAGCCCAAGATTAAATTTTGTTATGGCTACGCGCTAGTAGTCTACGCGGACTTGGTCCATCGAAATTTGTTGGACGAACTAATAAATGCAGGAAAAGCCACAGCGGTATACTACATAAGTATACTATTACTACTATGTATGAAGAAAAAGTCAAAAAGACGATGCATGTGAAGTGGACTCCACACGCCTAAAATAAGAAGTGATGGATAAATGTGCCTACAGAATCGCATCTTAATGCACAAAAGTCATCAAATTAAGGGAAATGCTACCATCCCGTTACGGTACCATCCCGTCAGATGTTTTAACCGTTGGATCATCGATCTTATCTAACTACACGTAGATCTAACGGTTAAAACAACCGAAGGCAAATTAAATAAAATAATTGTTCACACAACCACCCCACGCCACTTTACTCTATTCTCGCTGGTTCAAATAGCCATTATTTAATGCCGCTATTTACGGATCAGCCACTTTTATTTAAA